TATATATATATATATATATAGTCCTTTTTGTATGTGTATGTGTGTGTATGTGTATATATATATATATAAAATAGTATTGATAAAATAATAACACCAAAACAAATTCTCAGGAACCTTTGATTTAGCACTTAAATTAGTTTTAGTGTGGAAAGTAACTAAGGCATTTTACACATCTGAAGTGTCTTAAACTGAAGTGAAAATCTGCGTAGTCAAATGTATGAACACCTGCCGCAATGATTGTGTGGATGTCATTATTCTCCACATTTGATCAATATCACACATTGAGGTAAGTGTTTAGCCCTAGTTGCAAAGAAATTACACACAACATCTTTAGCATACAATTTCTAAAAGGTTCAATGTTATCCTATTAGCACAGAAACTATCATTTTTTAAAAAGATATATTTGTTTAATTACTAGTACAAGAGTTCCTGTAAGACCAAACCAGGTCTGTATTTTTCATCTGTTCCTCACGCACACTGGTAGTTTGATGAGGTAATTATGTGACTTTAATAAGAGGCTCAGTTTTGATTAAGCAGACGCTGTTTGGAGGGGACGATCCCGTTCCATGCACAGTGTTAGCTAAATGTGATGGGACACATTGACTGAGCGTCATGTGTGGAGATTTGGCTTAAACATCCTCAGCTTAGCTGGATATTATTTATTGCATTTTCATGAGGAATTGTGTAAATGTTAAACTACTTAAATGCTAATCTGCTTAGTTAAGTCTGACTTTTCTTTTTCTTTTGGTCCTTAATGATTTCTAACATGTACGATGAACGATTTGAAGCTTTTAACAAGTGAATATCTCATACATGTCCCATATCTTGGCCTAAAGGGTTGAAATGCACACATTTTGCATTCAGAACAACAAAAAGCTTATCCGGAATGCATGTATGCATAATCAGAAGAGATAGCTGAATACAAAAACCTCACTTTAGCCATCAAACTCATCTCTAGCTCCCTCTCATGGAGTCAATGTAGAAAGAGAGACAGAGAGATAGAGGTATCTGGTTTCATTGGACTATGCCAAGAGCAGCTGGCAATACCATTTTGTGTGTGACCCAAGAGTCCAGTGCCTACACACACAAACCTATTTGTCAATCTGTATGGTACATTTATTCAGGAACTAAATAACTTCAGCACATCACTCATTTGGCACCTTCCTAATGTTGTTATATATGCTCTTTTGACTTATAACCACCTAGCAACTGCATAGCTGTGTGAGAGCTGTATGTGATGACTAAATCTAGCCTACAGTTACAGTATACATAGATGCACATATTATATGTACACTAAAACCAAACAACAAAACTGTTTAAATCACTCATGCTCTTGAGAAGCGACTGCAGAGTGAGCTAAGTGTTAGTGTGTGTGTTTGGTGTAAGGGGGTTGGTGAGTGTAAACCTACACTCAAAATGCTCATTCAGAGGGATACTTGAAAGCAATGTGTTCATTTTATTAGACTGTTTCTTTTGGTGATTTGTAAGCTCTTGAGAAAACCGAACATGTTTGCATGAATTTGTGGAGGACTTCATTTATCCACTGTGAGTTAAGTGTCAATTTGTACACTACTGTTCAAAAGTTTGAGGTCAGGAAGTCTCTTATGCTCATCAAGGCCACATTTTATTAAAGAAATACAGTATAAACGGTACAAATGTGTGGATTTTTTAAAAATCATGCAGGGATTAAAAACGAATTCTGAGCAAAAACATTAAAGTTTTTTTTTCTTTCTGGTAGCCTACTAGTTCGGAAGTCTCTTTTGGCCCGTTTTTAACTAAATAAAAATAACTGCTTTATTTATTTAGTAATTTAAATTTAATTTTTGTATTGTATTTTTTATTTTATTAATCAAAATGCAACGCCCACAAAATAATATTCAGTGTTGTGTTGGGCTGCCGAATCTCCGAATGCGTGCATGTTGAGGGGCGAGATGAGATATAGTACTATAATGTCATCAGCCGTTTGCAACAAAACTTTATAGTTTTGTTGCAAATGAATTAAGAATTTATAGTGCTATATATCAGCTTAAACATAATTATATTGTATATACGGTATACTGAAATGCGCGCTGATAGTGCGTATTTTAATTATACCGGTCATGTTTGTGGTTTTTCATCATGATGCAGTCTGTTTAAATAAATATTCAGAAACACATGCAGTGCTACTTTTAGTATTTTTCTGTTTAACTTTTATTAAACTGCAGATCAAAATGGAATAGGCCTATACCCTAAATAAGGATAAATTATATTGGAACGCATCTCCAAAATAATCGCATACACAGATGCACGTTGCCATTACAGTAGTCAGCGACGAACAGCAGGCAAATAAAATATAAACTGAGGTTACAAAAGTGATTCAGTCAAGATCAGTGAGGGATTTTCTTTTCTTTCGTTCTTTAAATTAACATTAATGACTGGCGGCAGATGCTGCTGTCAATGCATGGATCCAATACACCCTTGTTGTCTTTCTCGGCCCTTTACATAACCGATTGTATTTATGGGATATTTTGATATAATTCTGTGTATTTGTCCATTCGAATGTGTAAGAATGCGAGATAGAGAGCTCAGTCCAATGTTCGCGCATATAAGAGGCGGCTTTTGTGTGTGCGTGCGTGTGTGTGCGTGCGTGCAGCACAGAAAACAGCGCACGAGTGCAGAAGTGAGTTCTATTTCGTCGTCTTAGTTGAATCTTTTGAAATCACAATAAAAGCGCATGCAGAAATCGAGAAGCAGAATCGAAATTTTATTTTATAACAAGTAATTTGATTCCTGACCTTATGCATCTGATCTGATTTCCGAAATCGGAATAGCTTTTCGATGCCCAACCCTAGGGCTGTGACGGTGGCAGATGTTTACCACCGCGGTGGTAATGGACCAACTACCGCCGGTGGCGCGGTGTTGATATAAATAAATAAATATATATATATATATTAGTGGTGTCAAAATTAGCGCGTTAACGGAGGTGATTATTTTTTCAGTTTAACGCGTTAAAAATATTTAATGCAATTAACGCAGGGGCGGGGCTAGGGTTGGCCACCCCACTCACAACTGCTGCTTCTGTCACTTATTCAGTCACAGAACGAATGAGAACGGGAGACGTTTCAGACGCGTGCTCCTCTTCACTTTGGTGCCAGGCGTGGAAACGGTACTGTGCTCGAAGCGCGTGCTCTTCAATTGCACACACAAAGGCGCCGGCGCGCTGTAGCCTGTATCCTTTCATATCAAAGCGCGAAATAAAATACGTGCACGCAATGCCGTGGTCAGTTAAGTCATGAAGTTACCCAGTTTAACGCGTTAAAAATATTTAATGCAATTAACGCAGGGGCGGGGCTAGGGTTGGCCACCCCACTCACAACTGCTGCTTCTGTCACTTATTCAGTCGCAGAACGAATGAGAACGGGAGACGTTTCAGACGCGTGCTCCTCTTCACTTTGGTGCCAGGCGTGGAAACGGTACATTGCACACACAAAGGCGCCGGCGCGCTGTAACCTGTATTCTTTCATATCAAAGCGCCTTTTTCTTTCTGGTAGCCTACTAGTTCGGAAGTCTCTTTTGGCCCGTTTTTAACTAAATAAAAATAACTGCTTTATTTATTTAGTAATTTAAATTTAATTTTTGTATTGTATTTTTTATTTTATTAATCAAAATGCAACGCCCACAAAATAATATTCAGTGTTGTGTTGGGCTGCCGAATCTCCGAATGCGTGCATGTTGAGGGG